CATTGTCATATTGTCGCCATTACTCTTTTCTTTTTGCTTTTTTTTTTTTTTCCCTCCTGAACAAAGTCCTCAATTCGGATGCAAATTTTGAAGTTTATAGTAGATTCTTCTCCACGGGAGAATACAAAATACTAAGTTCTTATAAGACCAAACACAAGTACATTGATGATACTTTCCAGTTCCACTGTTCCAATTCACTGGATCATTTTATTGGCTCCATGGGTCAATTTTGTTATACTTAACATTCTTTGCTGAGGTGGAGGTACGTATTATAGATATTAATTATAGATATACAGGTGTTCCATGTATTTTTATCTGGTCTCCATCCATAAAACAAATATAATGCAATCAAGTAGATAAGAATATCTCTCGATAAGAAAAATGTTTCATCTTCATGAATCTTCACAAATTACTCGGAAAGAATACATGTCAATTTGTTTCACGCTAATCTGCATTTAGAATGAAATGTAATAATTAACCAAAAAAAAAAGAAGAATAAAATGTAATGAAGTGACTAAAAATGTCGCGTTAGATTTTATTTTATTTTATTTTCTAAAAAAAATGTAAATCTTTTGGGTTCTATATAATGAAATGTGACGCTAGTTGCATATCGATCAGATTTTATTTTATTTTATTTTTGTCAATATACATAATGTAGTCTAGGAGACAATCATTTTGGAGTATTCTTTTTTTTTCTTTTAAAAAAAGGAAACATTTGATCTCCATAATGTATTGGAAGGGAAAAAAAAAACTTGAATATTGTTGGCGATAACATTTAAAAGTCATGAGATATGGTGTTATATATATATATATATATATATTACTACTATCCACTTGAAATTGGACCACTTCGAATTGATGCATTATGATTGTTTAAACCAAAAAGTTGCACCACGAATTATATATTGCATTTCCTTCTCATACACTGCAAAATTATTGCAAAGTTCGGCACGAGTAAAGGGGTTGTTATCTTCTCCGGAAGTATGAAGTATAATAAATGGTATGTTGCATTTATGTACTTATCATTCCGCCCTAAAATGAATGAATCTTATTGTTTACACAATAAATTTGATTTGTAAGATAAACAGAATGCGAGAATTTTTTTAACAATAAAGAAAAATGAACCAACCTGTTGTTTATTGAGGTGCCATCAACCATGGCATAACAAACTAATTAATGAAAAACATGGGTAGAGAAACTACTTCCTTCAATTATATAATACTTTCTTGGTCCCAAATAATGTTTTGATTCAGCAAATAAAACTTTATATATATATATATATATATACGGAGTTCGAAATATAACTCTATATATATATATATATATATATATGAAGTAAGGAAAAACAGTTTTGCTATTGACTTGGTAGTGTCTTGCTTTGCCTCTCTACGCATTTGCCCATTTGTTTATACGCATCCTAATGAATATTCTGATACTCCGTGAAAAGGGTCAAAACTTTTTCATAAGCTTCTAAATCCAGTTTTGCACTTTCCAGGTTGTGAAAAGATGTATACAGAATCAAGAGATCCAATACTAAAAATTTATAATCAACCAACATTTGGCTTAGTGGCGCCCCTTAAGAAGTTTTATACACACATATGGCCAAAAAGAATACGAGAAAATAACTTTATATGATCGGACAAAATACTCCATCTGCCCAAAATGTATTGGTCACGTTTATATAATAATGCTAAAATAATTAATGAAATTTTGGGAACAACATAGTGATAAAATTGAATTTTATTTGTTTAAATATATTATTATTACAATTTTAAAGATATAGTGATCGCTATTGTCAATTATTCGTTGCCATCAATTGAATTCCAATCATTTGAAATTTTGCCAATAGCCATCGACTGTAGTCTGTACTATTAGAAGTGATGTATGTAAAAAAAAATGAGCCAACAAGTACTCTGAAAGACTGGCATGATTAAATTTCTGAGTGTTGCGAAGAAATATGTGAAAAATAATAATAAAAAAAAACCCTCTGGCAAGGAACCATAGCAATTTATTAGATTCTTGATTTTGGAATTCATCCGATAAACTTTTCTTCCTGGAAAGATTTATGACTGTGTATACACTCTAGAGTCTAGACGACTAATATCACGAAATGTTGTCTTTTGGAGTCTCTCCAAATGTATACATCCATCAACCGAACAGTATCACCATTCCTTACAAAATTCGTAGCAATAAATTAGTACAGTCTTATTTTTAATTTATACTTTCTAGAATTATTTATTTATGTCTGAATGTTTCAGCAGGAAATTAAAATTACTAGATACTGCTAATGAAAACGACCCAGAAAACGATTTGCCATTTTATAATACAATTATTGAAAAAAAAAAAAAGAAGTATGAAAACAAAATATAGAAATGGTCGAGAATTTTCTCTCTTCTTTCCTTCGTCGAGGGGGAAAGGAAAGCAACATCTCCATCAACCAAAAACATGGTGGGACCCGGAAGCCTTGAATAGTCGGCCAATTATAATAAATGCAAAAAGCTGTGCGTTGGAGTTATCAACAAGAAATCACACACAGTCACACACTGACAGGCAAGACGACAAAAAGTACCTTTTAGATATGAATTACTGCTTAATTAATTAAATGTCATTTCTGAATTACTAGAAATAATTAATTTAAAAAGTCATCATATTCTGTAGATGGATCATGGAACAAGGACAGTGAAACTGACACAACAATGCCCACTCCCTTGTCCCCTATTCTAATTTCTAAAATGATGTACCAAATGCCTGACAAGTCGGTAAATACTGTTTTTAACCGGGTAAAATAGCGTTTGGCATAAGTATATAACAGTGTTATTAAACTACGTATTTGTTACAATGACGGAAAATAAAGAGATTAGTCGAGAAAGATGATTCGCTTGATCAACATAGAGATTAGTCGAGACAGTTGATTCGGTGATGGATTGTGTTAATTTAATTTGTGCCAATTTTGTGTAGTGATTCCCTTCGCAATATACAATTTACACCTCATTTTAGAGTGCTCCCAAGTCCCACCTTTTTTGTGGCTGTCTTCGTGTATTGTTAGCTATTGTGAATTTGGCATCTTGTCATTGGCCGAATGATATTTTTGGATGTATTATTTTGACCAGTTCTTCCGCCTCTTCCCACACGATACAACCCTTTGTTTCTGTCTTTCAGTGCTTCTTCACAATCAAAGGCTGGCTCCGGGAAGAAAAAATAAAAAGAGGCTTTGATCATGATATTGTTTCATGAGATTCGGTAATGATACGGTCCATTTTTTTAGTGCTAATTTGATCTACTACTTAAATTACTAAGAAAAATTGGTTAAGAACTGACGTGACACAAACTGTTTGGTCTTCATAAGGTGCAAAAAAATAAAATAAAAATCATCAATCTGTTTTCTCTGAATGAATTTATCATGCATCTCCATTAGTACAAAGAGGATGAAAATCCTGCCTAAGAATGAACCATTTGCACTTACCCCCAACACCCCCTTCCCCCTCTTTCTGGGAAGGGTCTTCAATCCAACTAGTTTTAGGTTCCAAAAATCAAATTGCATTAAATGATCTCAACCGCCCTAAATAGTACTCCTTCCGTCCCACAAAAATAGTTCACATTGAGTTTTGAATTTTGTACTATTTTTAATACAAATTTAAAAACTGAATATGGATTATTTTTGTGGGACAGATATAGTAATAATTAAATACCTTGTTCCCACAATATTACACTTACTACTAATACAACATATTAGTAGGAGCAGCAATTGAGTCAAAACCCAAAACCAATACATTTAACGCCCGCAATCATTGTGCCGAAATTGTCTCCCCTCCCTACATTTCTAATGTACCTCGGCCAAAACCGAGAAAGTGCAAAGCATTTGTTTGTAGTAGTACATATTAACCCCTTCGGAAAAACGGCAAAAAATTGATCCTCCCATAACATTTTTTGTGTTAAGGAATTTAGGCTTTGTTTGTTTTTTTTTTTCTGAATGGTTTTTTCATAATAATAAAATAATAATTGTTCTATTTTAGCATATTTTTTTATATTTCTAATGCACTTTTTTATATTTTTCAATAGAAAAAACACCTAAAAACACACACTAAAAAACGAAACAAACGTACCTTAGTTGTTTGAAATTGCACTATTCCGGTCTGTTTCGTGCGGCACTGGTTAACATCCTCTAATTTTGTTTTATATACTAGAAGACTATCAATTGTATAACAGTTGGATTTCATTATCTTCTGTTAGTCAAAAAGTAGCTCTAAAAAGGTGCTCTTTCATTTCATGCATGACTAAAAAAGTCAACAGCTGTCTTAATAAAGTAAATAAAATAGGTATAGTGGTGTAACCTTGATGCATGCACTAGTAGAAAACGCATGCCAATGGGTTCACAAGTGAATCCTAAAACTGTATCCCTCTTTTTGTATTTTAACTGCATTTTTATCAATAAAATCACATGTCATTTCATTAATCTTAAAACATACTCCTAGTTAGTGCACAAAAGGTAGGTATTCACTTTCTTTTTACTCGATCAACACTATATGGTAATATAGGAGCAAAGGCATATATTTTCGAAATGCAGTTACATGTAGGATTCAGTAGCCATTGTCAACAACTCCATTTGAATTATTTTTTAGGAAGACAAAACAGATGCTGATGCGATGAAGAACAAATTATAATTGTAAATTGTAATTAATAGTCAAAGAATGTTCTTTCTCTACATATTCAATTGTTAGTGTGTGTCTCATCAACTTAACTCAGCCACACAATATTATGTATTGGGTTTTGCAAGTAGAAAGCATACTTAAAGGGGAAATTTTTTTTTAAAAAAAAACAATACTTCGATGTCCCAAAACAAAATTATTGTACTGATCAACAGATTCAATAGACACGATTGTTATTTTGAGACGAAATAAATAATTAATGTACACCGGTTAACTGTAACCTTTTATCCAATATTCGAGGACGATGATTAAAGATGATGTTAGCTAGCTTCATATTCTGAACCGACTAGTTAAATTTAGTACTCTTAACTCCTACTCTAGAGTCAAGCCATGAAAGAACTGTGTCACGTATGACTCTAGTTCCAGAATTATCAATTAACTAAACGGCAAATGTCTAAAAATGCTTTTGGATTTTATTGATCATTTTTATACTTAAAATAGCCTCCATTCAGCCACCCCTCTATGGCTATAAAAAAGAGTCACCAAGGACCAGATAATCACACCCCATTTCTTCAAGAAATCAAAACAAAACAACCCAACACTTTCCATAACAAAAATATACTGCCTCCAAACTCTTTTCTCCTAGCTCTTAGAAACATCAAAAAAGAAAAAAAATGGTAGCCCAAAAGTCCATCTCCAAGTCCATGAATGCCAAAATTCTTGGTTCAGGGAAACAAACCATAGTCTTAGCTCATGGATATGGTGGGGATAACTCCGTTTGGGACAACGTGATAAACCCTTTATCCGAGCTTTACCAAGTCCTGGTGTTTGACTGGAGTTTCTCAGGAGTTGTGAAAGATCTGGACCTTTTCGACGCCGTTAAGTATTCTTCGTATGATGCTTTTGCAGATGACTTGATTGATTTGCTGGAAGAGATGAACTTGAAGTCATCGGTTTTTGTCGGGCACTCCATGTCCGGCATGATTGGATGCATTGCTTCCGTGAAAAGGCCTGACCTTTTCACCAGGCTTGTGCTCGTTGCATCTTCTCCAAGGTACTAAATCAAACTACTCCCTCCGTTCCAAAATTATTTTCGAGTCTGAATTTTCACTTTTAGTTGTATTTAATAAAATATCTAGCTTCGCTTAATTTAGAGTTTAGAATTGAATTATATTTACTTTTGTGTTTTTCCTTTTTTTATGAACTCAGAATCTCGACATTACAATTTCTTACTCTAATCATGTCTTTTTTTTTCTTTTCTTTTTTTTTTTTGCCGAAGTCGAAAACTTTCACCGGTCAAACACACGGAAGTTCAGATCCGAATGAAGTTAGGTCATGATTTATTCAAAAGATTAAAGAATATTGAATTCATCTAGAAAACCACTAGCTAGTGCGTTAATTGACTCGGAATGATTGTCTTTCCTTATTTTAATTTTTTCCTTTTATGGAGAGTGGTTATTGTTGCACGGAATGAAGATTAAATGGTTGTAATTTAACATGCTTGCGCCGGCCTTGAGTAGATTAATTAGAGATCATAAGTAAATCTTGTCGAGGATTAATTAGTTCTTAAGATCACTACTTTTTTTTTTTCAATTGATGAATCAAGTAAATCGGTGTTCATGTGTTTCCTTAGAGGTATTTGTACTTTGTACCTTTGTACAGCTGTTGTTCTTTTTTTGGGTTCTCCTATGGAGGTGATTGGCTATGAAAAGAGTGGCTAACGTTGAATCGGGTCGTTTTGAGATTGTCAAACATGTCGAAAGCAACAAAAGATAACTTTTTTGCATTGTTTTCTAGAAAATAGTACTGTTTGATTGATCTATAATTAGTTCTTTACTTGAATGAAGCGGTGATTATCAAAGACTCCCTAGATATAACTGTAATCAGGCAGTTTGTTAAACTAAATTATTTTTATCTACAAATATTTAATTCAATACATTGTTATTAATATGAAATAGATAGAGTATATGTCAATGTTTTTTTAATGATTTTGTAATAAAGGATATTGTCAAAATTAACTTTAAATTCCGGAGATTACATTTACTGACAAACTTATCAGGTTTTTTTTTTCCTTTTTTTTTTTTTATTCTTCTTTAGGATTCATTTCTTTTTCTCCCCCTACTATAATAATATCATTAATGCTCAAATGGGCACAGCATGTGAGTATATGACTTGTTATGCTCCACCTTTTGTCCTATAGAAAGTAGCAACAAAATTTTATTGGAAGATTGTCACAAATTTTATGTCTTATCTAGCTAGCAATCCTTTTTGCCAACCATATATCACTTCCTATTTTCCCACAATCTTTTTAATATCTGTAAACCCATCTATTCCTCTCCTCCCCACCTAGCTAGTACTTCCTTGTCAAAACAATATATGTACATTAGTTTATCCGTCCTAAAATAACTATCTTATTTATTAGAGTATACTCTATCCATTCCAAAATTATTGTAAAAGAGTATTATTTATACTCGACGTATTATTCTAACTTTGGTCATTTTTTCTATTTTCAAAGGTTTATTAACACGGATGAGTACGAAGGAGGTTTCGAGATCCCCCAAGTAGAACAGCTCTTCGCAAGCATCGAATCCAACTACGACCAATGGGCTCCTAGCTTCGCCTCCATTGTTGTGGACAAAAATGACCCTCTGTCGGTTGAGAAATTCGCCGGATCGTTGACCAGGATGGGAGTCAAAACGGCACTTCCCTTGGCCAAATCCGTCTTTCTTAGTGACCATCGAGATGTCCTCGAGCAAGTCACAACTCCGTGTACCATAATTCAATCTGTTAACGATGTTGTTGTCCCAAATTCCGTCCCACTTTTCATGCAGAAGAAGATCAAAGGTAAATGCAACGTGGAAGTTATCGATATCGAAGGCCATTTCCCTCAGCTTACTGCTCCTAAGCAATTCCTAGAAGTCATTGATAAAGCCATGATTGATTCTCTCTAGTCAATTAAGGAGTTATTATGGTGATCTTCGTTTATTTTTAGAAATTAAGCCACGTAGAAACCTAGGAAGGGCAATATATATACTTACGTTGGATAGTAGTTGTGTAATGAATAATATGCGCGCCGAGATATCTATGGGAAGGTTTATCCACCTTGATCAATGCCTTAAGAATGATCCAGTTGAGATTTTGTTTTAAAGGGTTTTTAGACAGAAAACCTATTTGGATGTCGGAGAAAATAGAGGGTTGATTCTGTCATCGAAGATGATGTAACATATTGTACTTGGTTGGGTCGACATATTCCATGGTATCATGGAATTTGGAAGAAGCACTTAGCTGGGTAGTGTGTGGTTTTGGTAGTGTTCTTTTTTTTTTTTTTTTTCCGAGTGAGTCATCACGAACGTTGTGTGTCGAGTGTGTTTTTAAAATGTTCGGATTGAACTCTTATTGTAAATTATTGCTACTACTCCTAATAGCATTGCACTATGATTAGTGGAGTATTTATTGATTTGAAAATTGTCCTTATCAGTACTTAATCAATTAATTATATCGTTATCAGAGGCCAAAAAGCTAGTTTTGTTTTTTAGACGCCAAGTGGTTGTTGATTTCGATCCCCAAAAGTCAAAAGTCCTTATCTTGAGGCCAGAAATTATAATAATGAAATGGGAGTAATTTATAATGAATCTGATACAAATTCTTCCCATGTCATTTTTTACTTTTTTTTTTATATAAGAAACATATCATTCTTTTACCTTTTTGTTTATGGGCCATCAAGCAGACTCGCATTTCGCTTGATGATTCCGAATCACTCCAATTTCCACGAATTCATGCGGAAATTGCAGTGCATCATCACAAACATGTTGTATAGGCTTCTTTGTCCCAAAAAATTGTTTTGTTATCGAACTAAAATAATATAATAACGGATAAATAATTATTAATTTGGGATAAAAATAATGATATTTTAATGAAATGATTTGAAAGAAAACTATTGAACATGTGTACTTTCTATTTTCCGTGATTCATTGGCGTTTATGGTAAAAATAAATATCAAGTGAATCGGTGAGAAATTAATCTCTCAATGTTATAAAATTATTGCTAGACTATTAATATAAAACTAAGTATAAGAACAAAAGAGATATAAGAGAGTAGAAAGATAAGAGACTTATATTTAGATGTATTTTGAAGCATGAATGAGCTCACTATTTATGCAAGAAGTAGGAAATCAAACTGTGGGAAATGAATCACCTATCATTAATGATAAATATTACAGAATCATATCTCCTTGAATGTGAATAGAATAATACATGTTAATTATGGACATTCAATCAAATTAAATCAAATACTACCTCCATTCCTATTAATAAGATTAACTAACTTTACACAAACCAATAAAACTAACAAAATTTAGTTTTTTGTCTCAAAAATATTATAAATTCTCCAAATTGTCATTGATAACATTAATGAAGTGATTACATTAATTTTGAATTGGTTAGTTGTGAGGATAAAGAGAGGAAAAAAGTCATTAAATGCTTTTTTTGAAAATATAAAACTTCTTATAAAAAGGAATGAAAAAAGTATGTCCAAAAACTCTTATAAATAGGAATGGAGGGAGTATTTCATAACACTCCCCCTTTGAATTTCCATCTTTGCGGGATAATGCCTCATTAAAACCTTACTAGAAAAAACCCTTTGGGATAAAATCATAGTGAAGGAAAAAGAGTACACTTCCCAATGTAACGCTGCCTAGTTAAAAACCTTGTCAGGAAAACCTATTGGGACAAAACCTCAATCAAGGAAAAAAGAGTACAGCGTGGGTTACTCTCACTGTTAAGTATGAGACTTATAATCTTCTTGTTGCATGCCAAGCTATTGACCAGGTTCATGATTTTTTAAGTCAATAGTAAACAGATTACTTCGACTTCTCATGTAGATGGTTGTCTTCATATACCTGTATAATTTTGAGTGTTTAATAATAATGGAGATGCATGACCATCATACCTTGAAGATATCAATATACACCATCCAAGTCTTGATTAATTGATTGGATAAACCAAAACTTTATATGGTACTTCAGGACCAAATCGGTCTACATCATTAATAGAAAGTCAAGAAGAAGGATCTATATGCACATCAAGATTTTAATCAAGTGTGCTCAACGGATGTTGAATATACCAAGGTCAAACTATTTAGACTGAGATTCTTCTCAAGATCTTTCATTATCCTTGCTTCAGGCAAGTAGCAACCTTTTGATTTTCCTTAGAAGTGTTCAAAACTCTGATATAACTCTTCAGGAGTTTTCCTTATATTCAAACTATTCGAATTTCGTGATAAGTTTCAATAATATTCAGCCTTTTGAAACTCTACAAGAGTTTGGTGCAACAAAATTGTAATGCACATATGGCTTATGAATACTCACTCTAGTATTATTTATCATCCTATCATTCAAATATGATCATAAAAACATATAGAAAATCGTGTTACAAACAAAACATAACATATCTAGATAAAAACAAACATAGCATATCTATTATATTCAAAAGTATGAACCTAAATATCTAGACACATGAAGACATTATAACTTGCGCAAGTCCTTTGAATTAATTTCTCGAGAATTGGGATCATGTCCCTTTATTTTTAATCCTTCGAGGATTTCATATAGACGTCATTATTAAGTATCGCATATTAAGTGATCACTATAATCAAGAGACGCATTTCTTATCTTCATTTGTTACCAGATTAGCAAATAGCCAAAGATTTTCCTTTTCATCCACTACAAGATAAACCGGACTTTGGAAAAAACTTGTGCAACAAAGAGGTTGCTCGATAATCTTTTGTACAATCACCCGCCAAAATCTAGCCCGTATATCAGTTGCCAAACTTTTAGTTCGCAAGCAATTTCAATTCTAATTACACATCGTCAAGTGTGTATTGCGTCTTTTCATTTGTTATGGCTAATAAGTTTAATGTCTGCATCTACAACAGACTTTATTTCATGATCCTCATTTTCATTTATTTTACTGCTGCATCATAAGTAATTTTCATGTCAACATTTTATTGCTGATCGATTTCACGTTCTTCGGTAATGAGATCTCACAATTATTAAGTTTCCCAAGTATTTATATACTTCTTCTGAAAGTTAATTCACCATAATGAGAAACTATTCCAGTTTAAAATTCTTATGAATTATAATCAGTCGTATTTTCCATCTCTATAGATTTAAACCTTATCATTTACGAGGATTTTTATCATTTGGAATCGATAGTTCTACCACTCATTAAATGGACATTCAACTAACAAATAGTTTTAGGTAGTCCTTCAGGGACACATTATCAAATTCTAAGTTTTAGCAGCCTTTTATATAAGATATATTTATACATTCAGTCAGGTTATATGTGGTCTTAAACATTATCTCTTGAACTTCAGGTTCATATCATCGAGGATCATTATGAGATAATTACATTGTCCATCTGATTTTATAAATAGGCTGTTTTAACTTCTCCTACTGATGTTAGGATAACTAACTCGCTAAAATGATGATTAACCGATCGAATAGTTAATAAATCTCCTTTTCGGAGTAACTAACTCGTCAAACTAATACGATCAGTCCATCGAGTAGTTAATCCAACATTAACAATTTCAAATATTAGAGATTCAATATTCAATATATATTTCTGACCTCTTCTGGACGTTCCATCATTGTGTGCATTATGGTCGAATAATTATAATATAAATTACACATGTAATCTTTGAAGATGGATATGTACGGTTTCTAACCAAAAACCACTGTTGGGAAGATCATGTGCAACGACCTGTTTGGTCTTATGCATATAATTGGTATCTTTTGTGTTTCAACACTTCCTCAACTATACATGAAGTAATTACTTTAATTGCACACATGCAATAAACGACTCTACTAGACCGCTTCATTATTGCTCTTATAGGCACTCAATGTTCAACTTATATTATTCTGGTATTGAGTCATACACTCACCACAATTGTCAAATCAAAATTCTCATAAGAGCAGAACATGAAAATCTGCAAGTACCAATTTAACTCCATAATTAAATTTTTGCAAACTTCAGGTTGCAAATTAACGAGAATCATATCATACATGTGGCTATCTCATCGGCATATCGATTGATATTCTTATTTGTTGGAAGAAACTCTTGGTTTTCCAAATTTAATGCATATAAACTTTCTTGTTTAGTATTGATATCAGAATGGCTTAAGTAGTTATGCCAAATTATAGAATTTCTCTTCTGGAGAAAAATAGTGAATTAATTATTCAAATATATCCGAACAATTCGCTCCACATGAGCATTTACTCTGACAGAGTATTTGTTAATTACTCTTTTGAAAGCAAAGTGTATCGCTACTCTGCTGGAGACAACAATAAATCTTCAAATTCAAAATAGTTCTGTTGGCAGAGCAATTTACATCCTTCTTTGATACCTTGGAGAATATAATGTATTTTTCAATGCACTTTCTCCTTCGAACATTTCCTTGCTCTTTTAGGAGCAATGTTTGTTTACTATTGCTCTTCCAGAGGCAATGCTGAATTATTAAATTTTCTCTTCAGGAGCATATATTTGTTTTTACTCTCCGGAGTAATTATACTCTACGGAAGTTTTCATCTATCTTTGCAGAATTATTCAATGGCATATGCTCTACTGTAGCTTTTGATTGATTTCGTGTTGACTATTGACTAACATCTCCTTCAGGGCAATTAATAAAATTCATAATACCCACAGAGGTAATATGAGTTGCACTATGTGCAAGGATACTTTAGCCATTAACAAATTTAGATCTTATTTTCTTCAAAACATGTAGATAGAAATGTCAATTAAATAGTATCATTACTATGGTGACCAAAAGACCACAACACCTTCAGGATATTTGACATATTGGACATTTTCATCTCTAAATTTTAAATCACCTTCAGGGCATTCGAAAAAGATCGAATTATGATTTGTTAATTCATTGTCGACAGGACAAATGAATTCATCTATTTTCAATAATATATCAAAGATATCAATAAGATAATTGTGGTTATACAGAACATGTGAACCCAATGGTTTTCTTTGCCACAACGATAGCATTTGCAATATACTACTTTTTAACTTCAGATCAATACTAGTGTTTTCACTATTTTTCCAACTTCAAGTGGTTAATAGTGTATTTGTCAGAATCACCACTAAATTTTAAATCACTTTCAGGGCATTTGAAAAAGATCGAATTATGATTTGTTAATTCATTGTCGACAGGACAAATGAATTCATCTATTTTCAATAATATATCAAAGATGTCAATAAGATAATTGTGGTTATACAGAACATGTGAACCCAATGGTTTTCTTTGCCACAACGATAGCATTTGCAATATACTACTTTTTAACTTCAGATCAATACTAGTGTTTTCACTATTTTTCCAACTTCAAGTGGTTAATAGTGTATTTGTCAGAATCACCACTATCATTGTTTCATAATCGTAAACAAATTCTTGGAGGTTAGGTTACTACCTGTTTTTGCAGAAAAGGCTGACTTTGTACCGCCTAGAGGTCATATAGATCGAAATCTGGATCAATAAGAACGAAAGGGTTGGTGTGGCCACAACTATGACTACTGGCGCTTCAAAAGGCTTAGATTCTAAGGGCGCTACTGAAACCCTTC